TGTTGTCGGGCAATAACTTGTACTTCCTGTTCGTGGCGCTAAGCTCTGTGGGTGTGCAAAATGTGAGCAGAATGAGTGGCTTTGGCCGCGAATTCTGGAGCCGGTAATGCCTAGTCAAGTGAAAGAACTTTGGGGAAAGGTTTGCACACGAAAAATGGGAAAGGGCTTGGCGAGGCTTAATGTGAGGCTAATTATTTCACTGGATTACTTTGCATAAAATTGTCATATAAAAATTACGAAATCAACTGGTATAGTTTCTTTTTTGACTTTTATTCTGGTTGGTTATCTTATGTTGAGCTTAAGCTCTGGTAATCTTGTTAAGAACAATCTTGTTATGATTATTATTCTATCGGTTTTGTAATCTTCTTAGGGTTATGTAAGCTTGGAAAGTTGTTTGGAAAGAAAGTTGAACGAACTTTTGTTATTTCCATTGGATGTTATTGAAAATAATAATAATAATAATAATAATAGAATCAAGGCTATTCTTTCAAGAAGGTATATAATATTTGGTTTTTTTTTTAAAGTTTGTAAAATGTTTACCTTTTTATTTTAAGTTTATCATCTAAAAAAAAGAACAAAAATCGTTTGCTTGATAAAGGTTCCTTTATCAACGATCCTTATTATTTTATAATTTCCATTAAGAGTCGACTTAAGCTTAAGATTCATTGCCATTATGTCAGACACCTTTCGTCGCTTGTGCAATCATCGGAAGTCAAGGCCACCCAATTGTCGGAAGACATATCCCCAAAACCCATATCTTCGTTCTCAAACCATCCTCTCCTGGCTACCTGTAGACCTGCGATTAATCGGCGGGGCTATTAGCAGATGCAATCATTTCACAACATCCAATTCGTACGTGGGCATCTGGCTGCCGGGAAATCCCGCGCGAATCCGCCGAATCCTTTCTAAATAATTGGTCAGCACTTGGCCAGCTCGGATTGGACAATGTCGCAGTCGACGTCGACGCAGAGCGGTGACTTCGCGCTAATTCGGACCATGATATGCAGAAGGCCGAAAGCCAGCACCTGCCTGGCCTGCGCAGAAAGTGCAAGCGAGTGCTATAAAAGCGACGGCCAGGCCAGAAGCCACATCATTCAGCCCTCAGCATCGTTTCTGCAAAGAACCAAAAAACCACAACACCAAATCTTAACAAAATGGCATTCAAGGTGAGTCCTCTTAAAGAGGAATGTGGGATTCTGGAAGTCAGTTCATTCTTTATCCTTCCTAAATCCTAATTCTATAAAATGTTATATTAGGAACATTACTGATCTATTTGTTCTCAACCCACAGTTCGTGTTCGCTCTTGCCTTCGTCGCTGTGGCCAGCGCTGGCTATGCCCCAATTGCCGCACCCCAGGTGTACCATGCCGCCCCTGCTGTGGCCACCTACGCCCATGCCCCCGTCGCCGTGGCCCAGAAGGTCGTGGTCAAGGCCACCGAGGAATACGATCCCCATCCTCAGTACCGTTTCTCGTACGGAGTCGATGACAAGCTGACCGGCGACAACAAGGGACAGGTTGAGGAGCGCGACGGAGATGTGGTCCGCGGCGAGTACTCCCTGGTCGATGCCGATGGCTACAAGAGGACCGTCCAGTACACCGCCGATCCCATCAACGGATTCAACGCCGTGGTGAACCGTGAGCCCCTTGTCAAGGCCGTTGCCGTTGCTCCCGTTGTGAAGACCGTTGCCGCCGCCCCTGTGGCCCACTATGCTGCCCCCGCTGCCTACACCTCGTACGCCGCCCCAGCTGTTGTCAAGACCGTTGCCCCCGTTGCCCACTACGCCGCCCCTGCTGTGGTCAAGACCGTTGCCCCCGTTACCCACTACGCCGCCCCCGCTGTTGTGAAGACTGTTGCCCCCGTTGCCCACTATGCCGCTCCAGCTGTCGCTCACTACGCTGCCCCAGCTGTGGTCAAGACTGTGGCTCCGGTGGCCCACTATGCCGCTCCTGCCACGTACACCTCGTACGCCGCCCCCGCTGTTGCCTACCATCACTAAGAATCACCATTTCCCATTCCCCAAAACTCGCCCATTGTTATAGTTTTACGAACGACCCCTTAAAATAAACAAATATTTTTCACATAAAAAGTATACATTTATTTTACGATCACGATATCCGCCTGGAAGGATCTGTTTGGCCAGCGGCAGATTTGAAATTCAATTTAATTATTTTCGGTTCATTAGGGCCCGATTGGAGCTGCTGTGTGGCCAATTAATTGAATTTGTCTGCGACATTGAAATTCCGAGGTTCGAGTTCCAAAGTCAAATTGAATTTTTTCATTCAATTGTTCCATTCCATTTAGTGCTCCATTTGCTACACCCGCTACGATTCGATTCGGCTCTGGAAATCGACCAATCCTATCAGCGGATAATAAATCACAATCGGATAGCTGTGAACTATGTATATTTATATAAGTGTGTCACGGATGTAGCTGTGGAATTCTTAGACTCGGGCTTTTAGCACGTGGTCAGGTGGTTTCCGGTTAGTTTTTGCAATTGTCTCAGAGTTGCCGGCTTTTCCCCATCTAATTTTATTCCCATTCATATTCCTACGATGACGTAGTGGAATCAATATATGACCCCGAACTGGTTTTATAGGAGACCAGACGTACGTCTGACATGATCTCGAATGGTTCTTATAACAACCATTAATCAATTGGAGTTTGGAGCTATTTATTAGTAAATTTGTCATGAAATGTCTTTATTAAGTATCTTAAATGCTGAAATCAGTTTCAGTAATAATTGTAAGAATACTTCTTTATATTTATTAAATTCATTCAAATTTTAAATAATTGGTATGATAAATCAAGTTGCTCGCTTAAGTCTTTTGTTTTCTGACATTAATTTCCTTTGATTTGATTAAATTTAGTATATATATTTATCACCAAATAACACAATTATTATCAGATTGTGGTGGAGAATGTATTTTATAATAATTCGTATCTTAAGATTTATCACGTGGTCAGTTTGATTCCGGCTGCCACTGAGTAAATTTTAGATTTTTATCTAACGGATATGGTTTGCCGGCTTTTCCCCTTCCCAATTTAACTCCTATTCCCATTCATGTTCCTACGATGACGTGGTGGAATGGTGGTGACCAGGAACTGGTTTGACTCGCGGCCAGACGCACGTCAGACAAGATCTGAACTGTTCTTATAATTTTTGAGCTCATTGTTTGATTTGCCGGGTAATGAGATCGGGGCCTTTCGCATAATACTGCCAAGTAACAGATTTGCTAATTAAAACGTTTTTTTTTTATTGAAAGTGAAATATACAATAAACTAAACTTAATTGAAGTGAACTGAAATCGAAAATGAATTGTCTATTGAATTGGCCTTAAACGGTCATTGATTCCTGGATCGATCCCCAAGATAGCAGAGTCTATGCTTGGTTCAATGGAATAATTAAAAATCGATTTGTTAATTTAGATGAGAAAATTGTGCATTTGTGGCGCACCCTTTTCATATAAAAATGCAAAACTTTGTATGATTTCTAATATATTCTTCAGCGTGTATGTATAATTAGTTGAGACTCTATTAGTGCTGGATTTTTTATATTTTATGATAACTTTAGTCATAATTATGTTTACCCTAACAGTTTGCGAGTGGACCATGGAATTAAATAGGAAATTCATCATAACTTAACCAAAAATGCATTAATTTCAAATCGGAAAGCAGTTCTGTGCTAGTTTTTGATAGATTTATAAATCTACATACTCATTTAAAACATTTAAATTTTTTACAATTTTTGACATTTTTAACGATGTAATAACCCCTTATAAAATTTTTGAAATTTTAACAAAAATTTTAAAAATGTATTTTTCTATCGGACATGGCTATAACGACTCGGCTGAATGTACTGATCAAGAATACATATGATTTATAGGGTCGGAAATGATTCCTTAAATGCGTTTTTAGGTTCTGACTGAAATTATAATTCCCTGCAAGGGTATACTTGGTTTTTATCATAAACCATATATATATAATTCTGTAAGTATATTTGCTGTGTTCACAAACGATTCTGTATTAAAATTAATGTATTTAATCAAAGATTTCATTTTTTTATTCTTAAACTCATTTAATTAAGGTTAAATATAAAGTTTTAAATATCTTAAATGTATCCAATATTTTATATTCATTTTATTTACAACTTCCTCTATTCCCACGACGACCTTCAAATGAAATTCTTTCGATACCAGCCCCCGCTGAATTTTATTTATTACATCACTTGGCCGAGCGTTGAGTCACTTTCCTGCCCATTTCGACTTCGACCATGATTGAGCACTTACCTAGGCCACAATAATGGCTGTAAAGCAGCGAGCAAAAAGCTTCAACCAGAAAGCTCGACCATTACTTGTCCATTTAGCCATGTGAGGTGATCGGGCACCTTTTTTGGGTCATTTGCCAAGCGGAGGATAGCGGAGGTGTGTCCCTTGCCGTCTTTCTCTGGTCTCTCGTTATTTTCCCCCCTATTTGATGTGTGCGTTTGTGTCAAGTGCAGCGCTGTTCATCGATCAAGCTGCGATTTATTGGGTTACTTACATGACTCGAGTGTGCCCCAAAACCACGATGCCCGTAGCCCCCCAAAAACCCCTCTTTAGAGTCCGGGTCCCCGATACAAATCGAGTTGCTCGCTTAAGTCTTTTGTTTGTAACGACTTTGACGGCTTTGTCCGTCTCCCCCCATTCACACAACAATAGCGAAATGGGTGCGACTCGTGGGTGCAAATCTTTTTTTTTTTTGGGTAAATCTAGCGATCCACGGGGAGGGGAGCATGCAAATGAATTACGATCGAAGTGATTTGCTGTAAGCCACCAAGTAAAGAGAAAAAAAAAGTGAAAGAAAGGCCAACGGAGAAACAATGGCCCAAAGATTTTTCGTCTATAAATACGAATGCAGCCGAGGTTCAATTATTATTCAAACCACGTACTCCACAGAAGGAGGACAAAGTCGCGCTTCTTTCGCTCCGCAGTTTGCCCACTAACCTCAAACTCTCGCCAAATGGCTTTCAAGGTAATCCCCGGCTGATGTAATACCCAGCCCCATGGCAACAGGCTATATTGATTTTGAATTCAATTCAATATTTTTCAGCTGATTGCTCTCGTCTCCTGCTGCCTGGCAGCCGCATCCGCTGGTATTATCCCGCTGGAGCAGCACGAACACCAGCCGCAGCTCTACCAGGCCCACCAGCCACAGCATGTGATCTACCAGAAGCAGCACGAGATCCATCCCCACGGCCATGAGGTGTACCCCGACGATCCTCATCCGAAGTACAACTTCGCCTACGATGTCCAGGACGCTCTCTCCGGGGACTCCAAGAGCCAGGTTGAGTCCCGCGATGGGGATGTGGTCCAGGGCGAGTACTCGCTGGACGATGCCGATGGCTTCCGTCGCACCGTCAAGTACACGGCTGACTCTGTAAACGGATTCAATGCCGTTGTGCACCGTGAGCCTTTGGCCCATGTGCACCACAAGGTGGTGGCCGCTGCTCCCGCTCAGTACCATCATGCTCCCGCTGCCCCCGCTGCCGTGATCAAGACTTATGCCTCTCCTGCTCCCGCTTATGTGGCCCCCGCTTACACTGCTCCCGCCTACACCGCCCACCACGAGGTGCAGCCCCAGCAGCACCAGATCGAGCATGTGCATGTCCAGCAGCCGGCTCAGGAACAGGATCACCAGCAGCACCACTATGCCAGCTACGAGTCCCCCGCCCACTCGCAGGCCGCCCATGAGGGTCATGAGTACTACCACCACCAGTAAGGGGTTACCTACAGCCACAGATCACCTGACGAGCAAAAAGTATTAACTCTGCATCTACACTACATCGCGATAACTCATTTAGACATTATCCTAGTTTTGTTGATTAGTCTTACTCTTCCTGTACATATTTCTAATAAACTATCTACATATATGAATATATAAACAATTGTTGTTTTTATTCATACATAACAATATTAGGGGCTTACAAAGAAACCATTGACAAAATTGCATTCATTCATTCATTTCTTTTGAAAGAAATATACAATACACATATTTAATATCACATAAATAATTGAATTGAATTGTTTCCAAATTTATTGGGTAAACATAGACAACTCTTAAATAAAATTAAATTTCACCAAAAGCCTTCAAATTTCAGCAAACTATTTTGTAAAGGCTATACCAATGCCACAAAATATTGAATGACTCGCATAATTACACATTCAAAGCTAGCCTGATTGGGATTATCTTTGCATCGCCTCGTGTTCTGCTGGATTACACACTCCTATGTCCAACTTAAGTAAGCTTAACAATCTATGTTTTTTATTTTGATAAAAAATACCTACACCAAAGCCAGAACAATTGGCAGTAATTTTATTAAGTGTGAGATTTACATTTTAAGCATTTGGCCAGTGTTTCCCGATTGGTCATGATTAGCGGTAGCAATACCATGCGAATATTTGCCCGTGCTCGATTTTCGCACTTCAGCGTAGACGGGATCGGGCGAATCGAGACCGGTTTTTCGGGCATGCCAAAATATCCGGTAGCAACAATCGCACTTTTTGCAATTTTAATGTCGCACACAAATTGAATGTCAAATTACTTGGGACATATCTGCTGGCACACGGACACTCTGGCCGAATATGTATGTATGTATGTCCAATTGGCGGGCAAGAAATAATTTGCTCCACATTTCCCGCACACAAAGGTCCAACGCAACGCACATTAGCCGCCACATCGCCACTGGGAAGAGCTCTTGGCCTTTCGCGGCTCTTTGTTTGCCACTGCCGGGGATAATAATCGACAGCCTCGACACTGGTCAGTGCCCAGCATGGATCTCTATTGAAATAACTGGGCGCAGTTAAATACCAAATTTGATTGCATTTGGGAGAAGTCAATTTTGGATAGAATTAAAGTCTAATTATAAGCCTAAAGTGTTTAAAAAAATGCGGTAAAGTTTAAAACCCTTATATTAAAGAATATAAAATCTAAAAAGTTAAAGAAAAATAGTATAGTACTTAAATAATTAATAGCATTTTTAAATACGAGAGTGATATTTTTTTGCAAATATGTGACAACATCAAAAATAAATCAAAGACTTAAGCGACGAACTCGAAATCAAGTTACCAAATGTCGTTTCATGAACACGAATAGCTTAAAACCTTGTTTATAGTATGTTTATCCTTTTTTAATTGGAATATATGATACAAGACAATATAATTATAATATATAAAAGTTTTTAAGAACATTTGAAGACCATGTTTGTATGTAAAACAACAAACATTGGCGGTAAATAGATGGTCAACATAGATACTTATATCAGTTATAGCCGTACTGAACCATATATAAACAATCAACAGAAGTCTGCTGACTGTATTTGAGCCAGTTTATTATAAAGCTATATCCGTGACACACATATATACGATTATGACTTACTTATACCTGATACGATTGGTTAAGCCCAAACTCACATTTAATTAAATTTTTGAGGGAGTAATAAACGGAACACCGCTGAGCGGAAAAATAATGATTAAAAGAAAAAAACTTGACTTGACTTTGAAACTGGAGTTTTGGAATTTCAATGCCACCGACTAATGGTAATTGAATTTAAATGTTAATTAAGCTGATATCAACCACGATAGTCTCTATTCAGTTACTAGCTTAGAAATCCTTTGAATAATTTAAGTAAAACATACTATTTATATGAATAATAAGGGTATATTTTTAGGGGACATTCGTATAACTATAACAAAAAGGGTTTCGGGCTTTCAGTTCTTAATGGTGGTAGGCAACAGCGGGGGCGGCGTACGAAGTGTAGGTGGCAGGAGCGGCATAGTGAGCCACGGGAGCCACAGTCTTGACCACAGCGGGGGCAGCATAGTGGGCCACTGGAGCAACAGTCTTGACCACAGCTGGGGCGGCGTAATGGGCAACGGGGGCAGCATAGTGGGCCACAGGGGCGGCGGCAATGGTCTTCACAACGGGAGCAACGGCAACGGCCTTGACAAGGGGCTCACGGTTCACCACGGCGTTGAATCCGTTGATGGGATCGGCGGTGTACTGGACGGTCCTCTTGTAGCCATCGGCATCGATCAGGGAGTACTCGCCGCGGACCACATCTCCGTCGCGCTCCTCAACCTGGCTCTTGGAGTCTCCAGACAGAGAGTCCTGAACATCATAAGCGTACTTGTACTGAGGATGAGGATCGTACTCCTCGGCGGCCTTGGTCAGGACGGGCTGGGCATGAGCCACGGCCACAGGTGCGTGGGCGTAGGTGGCCACAGGTGCGTGGGCGTAGGTGGCCACAGCGGGAGCGGCGTGGTACACCTGGGCGGCGGGCAGAACACCGGCGTTGGTGGCGGCGATCAGGGCGAAGAGAGCGATGAACTGAAAGTGGACCTCGGATTAGGAGCTGGTTCTTGGGTATAATGTAATGTATCCTCGGGGCATACCTTGAATGCCATTTTGAGTTGTTTGGTTTGGTTAGTGGAGCTGCTGCTGCTGCTGTTGGTTGCTGAGAGGCGAAGTGAACTGTGAGGGCTACTGGGCCAGCACTCCGCTTATATACGGAGATGGAGCGATCTCTGCACTGGTTGGCCACGCTCTTGGCGTAATTAGTGCAATTCACTTATGCTAAACGTGTGTGCAGAGGGAAATGCGTAGCATTGAGGCCGTGCTCAATCTTTGTATCTTTGCGGTTTGTCATCCAAATAAATTCAATTTATCCAAGAGATACGTGAAGCGTGCGCACTGTCATTTCTACTGTTGAACAAAACACGAAACAGTTAATTAATTTATAGGTAAGTAGTTTAAATGGGATTTAATTTTATTTGCTATATATTTGAAATTGGTATAAGACAATAAATGTCTTTGTCCTTTTAGGGATAGATTTATTTATAAAATATAAGAACTTTGAGCCTTATGTTAATTATATTTAATTCTCAAAAGATTCTTTGCTTTAAGAGATCTGTTATTTCGTTTTATTATAGCACCCATACTTCTGAGAATTAGGTAATTAAAATTGACCTGGTGTAATCGATCGAGTGCAGGTGGGGGATTCCAATCGAAGACTTTCAAATGGACAGAACCGAAGAGGGTGCGTGACAATTTTTACAAGCCCCCAGCGCCCGTTCGAGGTGAAGCGCCAAAAATGAATTCCAATTAGGTGTCATCAATGTCGCCAAATCGCGTATAAAATCCAATAGCTCACATCGGGTAAGACATTCAGTGTTTGGCTTTAGCCCAAGACAGCAAACGTTAATCAACTAAACAACAATGGCCCTTAAGGTTAGTCGAAGGCTTCAAAGGATTATCAGTGCCAGCGCAGTGTTATTTAATAAGAAATTACTACAAAAGTAATCGGCTCGTATACTTATTTATTTATTTTATTTAATATTTTTATAGATCGTGATCGCTTTGGCTCTGTTCGCCGTGGCTCATGGCGCCGTGCTGAGGACGGCTGCCCCTGTGGCAGTGGCTGCTGCTCCCGTTCCCGTTCTGGCCAAGACAGTTGAGCTGGAGGAGGTGGATCCCCATCCACAGTACTCTTACAGCTACGATGTGCAGGACACCCTCTCTGGCGACAACAAGGGACACGTGGAGGAGCGCGATGGAGATGTGGTCCGAGGCGAGTACTCCCTGATCGATGCCGATGGTTTCAAGCGCACCGTTACCTATACTGCCGATCCTGTCAACGGTTTCAACGCCGTCGTCCGCCGTGAGCCTCTTGCCGCCGTGGTGGCTGCCGAGCCTGTGGTTAAGGTTGCCGCTCCTTTGGTCAAGGCCGCTGCCCCCGTTGCCCTTGCTGCCCCAGCTCCCATCGTACGCGCTGCTCCTCTGGCTGTATCTACGCCCTTCGTCCGCTCTGCTCCTCTAGCGGTGGCTGCTCCCGTCATTAAGTCCGCTCCTCTGGCCCTGACGACCCCCTTCGTCCGCTCTGCTCCTCTGGCAGTGGCTGCTCCCGCTCCGGTTCTGCGCACTGCTGCCTATACCGCACCTCTGAGGTACACCGCTCCAGCTTACACCGTTGCCAACTTGTAAACTGATGGGACCTAAAGAGGACCACTCTGTTGTTTTGTTTCTATGATAATAAAATGTGATTTGTTATGTTTATATGATATGAGTTTGTCTGGGATTAATTAAGGTTTCCATAAGTTACACTTTCATTTAAAGTTCTTTCTCACAAAATGCCACTAGTCACGGGTGTAGGTCAGTTCCAATCCAGTATTGTCTCTAATCTCTGTGAGCTCCCCGCCCAAAAGACCAATCCGGTAACATGATATCGCTCTCAAGGCAGAATAGTGAAAGCGATCGATTCGCGAATAGCCCGCGGAGGGACACACAGATCCGAAATCTGAGGGTCTCTCCAACGACACTAAGCCGCACCACATTTGCATGTGTCCGCGGATTGCATAAATGGATCTTGTGCCCATGGCGTGGGCAGTTGTAATTGCCTCGTTTCCAGTCGATAAATTAATAAGGTAAATAGCGAGCCAACAATACCAGCAATAGTAAATGGTAGAAAAAAAGGTGTAAAAAAGTGATATGAAAAGTGACAAAAATGATTTTGCCAGCAGCGAATTAACCAATTTCCATTCGCTATTCGAAGCTTGGCCCCTTTGAGTGAGTATAAAAAGCAGTGCTCGTGGCGGAGTAAATCATTCCACAGCCTCTCTGTCTTCGCAGCAGTTAACGGATAACCAGCAAGCCTCCTTTTCAAACCCAGAGCCATGGCCTTCAAGGTGAGAGATTCACAGGATATGGCCACTTCCTTGCCACAACTAATACACTTTCTCTCAACAGTTCTTCGCTGTTCTCGCCCTCGTTGCGGCCGTCAGTGCTGGAGTCCTTCCTGTCCAGCAGGTGTACCATGCCGCCCCCGCTCCTGCTACTGTGGCTTATGCCCACGCCCCCGTCGCCGTGGCCCATGCCCAGCCCGTCCTGACCAAAGCCACCGAGGAGTACGATCCTCATCCCCAGTACAAGTACGCTTATGATGTCCAGGACTCTCTGTCCGGTGACTCCAAGAGCCAGGTCGAGGAGCGCGACGGTGATGTGGTCCATGGCGAGTACTCTCTGATCGATGCCGATGGCTACAAGAGGGTGGTGCAGTACACCTCCGATCCCGTCAATGGATTCAATGCCGTCGTCAACCGCATTCCCCTGGAGCATGTGAAGACTGTGGTGAAGACCGTGGCTCCCGTGGCTGTGCCCGTTGCTGCTGCCCCACTGCCAGTGGCCTACCATCAGCACCACTAAGTGTGGAACCTATTCCGATTTGTGGCCACTGTTGTAGATCAATAAATTGTTGAATATTTGTAAGCTCATAGCGACTGAAGTACATTTTTATTGGGTGGCACTTTCTACTGAATAATAATTAAAGCATTCTGTGCTTAAAAAGACAACCTTCACATTAAAAAAATATGAGAGTCAGTCAGCCAGAAAAACACCGAGTAAATAAGCTATTGTAAGTGGGCAGCCGCAAGGGAGTTGCCCTAATCCCACCCAATAAAAGTCAATGGAAGTGATTATTTGGCATTGCCTTGGCTCTTCTTTACGGCCTCTTAACCATATGCATTTTGTAATCAATTTTGTGGCAGTAATAACTCATTAAAGCCTCCAAATTGATCAGGCGTCCGCGTCCGACCCATTTTACACCAATCAACGAAAATTGAGGCAGACATCCGATCGGAACGAAAACGCATCGATCGGAACATTTCAATGAAAACATCTGCGTCGAAGGCTTATTGAATTTAATGCATGTAATGCGCCCGGCTCTTGGAAACCAGTTAAGGTCACTTAAGTTGCAGCTTTGGCTTGGCCAGAAACCTTTCGCCAAGTCTCAGTTTTATGTTTTTTGTATTTTTTTTGGGCCTGCTTGAGAATGATTTACGCGACATTATTGGGTCCCGAATCGTTTTCCTTATCTGGCCGCCTTTCCAACGCGGACAAGTGCAAATATGCCAAGGTACTTTAAAGTAAACAACGGACAGCGGACAACGGACAACGGACATCGAGGGTTAAGGTCAAAGTCAGTTGGCATTGTTAATTACCGTTGCAGCGAACGGACTCCGCTACCCATTCCCATTCCCATGTTTAGCATGTAAGTACACACAGCCCCAAAGATCCACGGCAACAATTCAGATTTTTTAATGCCAGTGCGCATGCGCAACTCGCGGCGAGGCCCATAAACTTAACCAGACGAATTACATTAAAGCTCGTGTCGCATTGAAAATCAGACCGACCGAACGGCTGCCGCACTTAAGCCCCGTTTGCACCAGTCCCATGAATGAGTAAAAAGTTTTCGGGGGGTTTCCTTACACTCAAAATAATTTATTTTAATTAGTATAGCGTAGAGTAGTGTAGGATATTCCTGATTTACTTATAATAATACTAATTGGATTCGAAATCTGAATTCTTCTTCTAGTTTGGCTTTGGCTTAATTACTCCACAAGTAGGCAACACTTTTTTTCAGTGTGATGTAAATGCTTCTGACATTGTCTTTACGGTTTTGTCGCGCATTTCGTGCGTTCTTGGACGTGTTGGACTGCGGTCTTGCTGTCCCATTATGCGGACATAACTTCATTGTGTCTTTCTGTGACAGTTAGTGTTATTTTGTCAGTAGTTGTCGCTTTCAGTAAATTCTTTCTCTTTATCTGGCCTTGAAAACGGTCGTGGGAGAGTGAAAGTGAATTACGTTTTTGGTTTTTTTTATAAACAAAGAAATAATTATATGTTCAAGATACTTGTTTTTCCTGACTGATGTCAATGAATATCAATTGTGTGAAATTTAAATGCAAGAAATAACTAAAAGAGTACAATTAAGGAGCTATAACTTAACTGAAAAGTTAACATAATATAACAGATTTGGCTAATTAGTTTACTAATTTAGGGGGGATCCATAATTACTTAGATGTAATCAATTTTGCTTATTTATATGAAATAACAATTGGCTTTCATTAAATTAGTCAAGTTCAGGTCATTGTTATCAACTTAAAGATATCTCTTTGTGAAAAGATAATATCTGGAAAGAGTACATGCACATTTAACGTTCAATACAATTAAATAATTCATAGTAACTTATGATTGTATATCCTTTCCTAATATATAGTTTGTTTATACCAACTTTTATGTAAGGTTCATGATTATAGAATCATTGCTTTTCATTAAAAGTAATAATTGATATACCAATCAAAGCACAAATTATTCCGAATATTATCCCCTCCAGATAAATGATATAGCTTAATTTCCATTCAATTAGATCACATCCTTTTATTCAATAACAACTAACGGCAATGTTTGGGTCGTGGTCACCAATTAATTAGATAATTAATAGGCGTACGAGATAAGGGGAGAGGCGAACTGGGTCTTGACGATGGCGGGTCCAGCAGCGACCAGAGGGGCAGCGGCCTTGACAATTGGCGCCGGGGCAGCATAAGCCAGAGGAGCTGGAGCAGCGGCGTAGGCCAGGGGAGCGGGAGCAGCGGCATAGGCGGCGGTCAGGGGAGCAGCACGGACAACTGGGGCGGCAACGGGAGCGGCGACAGCGGCACGGACAACTGGAGCGGGAGCGGCAACCACGGCAGCGGGGGCAGCGGCAACAGCGGCCACCAGAGGCTCACGGCGGACGACAGCGTTGAATCCGTTGATGGGATCGGCGGTGTAGTCCACAATGCGACGGTAGCCATCAGCGTCGTTCAGCGAGTACTGGCCCTGGACAATGTCACCGTCGCGGCTCTCCACCTGGGTCTTCGAATCGCCAGAGATGGCGTCCTTGACATCATAGCCATAAGTGTACTGAGGATGGGGATCGTACTCCTCCACCTGGGCAACGGCGGCCAAGGGAGCGGCGGCGGGAATGATGCCAGCGCTGGCCACAGCAATGCAGGCGGCGAAAAGGATGGTGAACTGCAATTGGCAAACAATAAAATAGTTAAATTATTTTTATAGCCTTCTATAGAATTATTAACTGGAGGAGGCATAATTGGATCCGTATAAGAGCAGTTAGAATGATTCTTTCAAGATCATAACAATCACTAGTTTCTTGAAGTTTTTTAAAATTAATCTTTTGTCCTCGATCAATTTCAGATTGATCTTATTTCGATTTATTTGTGGTTTCCTCTGTGTATTTGCACTTATCACTTGGTTTGCACTTGAGAACTTAGTCCTTACTTTGAATGCCATTGTTGATTGTTTTGGGTTTGGATTGGCTGCTCTAGATACCGTAATTGGTTTTGAACTGATTTGAACAACGTCCAACTGGGGCTTATATACCGCCTCGATGGCACTTCGCCCGAGTTCGATGTCAGCGGCGTGCACTTGCGTCACAAAACCGCGCCGACCATATCAAAATGCGAGACGCTCAAGACTAGAAGCGGGGGAAGACTTGGGGACAAGGTGACTGAGCTGAGGTGACAAAGCCGCGGCGAGCATAATGCCTTCTTGATTGAATCGCACCTGAGCAGGCAGCCGAATTAATATTGGCCTCAGAAGTCGCATACCCGAACGTGGCACTCATGGCAGCCCCCCATTATTCCCCATCCCGATTATCGATCCACAAAAATAATGATGATCGCTAAAGCGCTTTCGAAAAATGTCAGCGCACTAATGGCAGTCATATCGTATGCAGCGCATGCGCAAATGCATAACAACGGTTTTTCAAATCGACTCTGCACTTTGCAAGCTCACCCATTTCGATTCCGATTCCGATTAACCATAACTCGTTGCGACCTTAAGCGTTTTTTTTTTTTCGTCGCTGTCGCTCCAGTTGAACACTAATTGGATTTCAAGCTTTGGTTTATGGTGGCCACCGCACTTCCGAATCGCCACCCAACAAAAGAGAAGTCATTGCTGATCACCTTTTAAGGAATTCTATCAGATCTGTCATGCGAAATGGAATTAAGAAACGAGTACCGGGTATCTTGGAGTTCGGTGACAAGGGTTTATTACCTTCTTACATGTTTCTTTTGGGAATTATTATTGTTATTTTTAATAGAGTTTCCGCAATGCTATTATAAAGGCTTTAATTAAAATATTTTATGTTTTAAAATGGTATTTGAGGCAGTTACAATTAAAGATCTCGTTAGTATTTCTAAATGTAATACAGGAGAGAATATTAAAAGCTTAATATAAACAACATTATGTATATTTAATTTTTAAATTTTAACTTTATTGAACCCTAAAACACATAGGAAATGGCATGGGGATGCTGTCCGTGATGCAGGGAGGACTTAAGTAGGGGCACATGATGCGAAACGATGGCATGCGTGGGAGCAGCATGATGGAGCACATGATGGGTAACGGGAGCATGGTGGATCACTGGAGCATAGGATCGATGAACCACAGCGGATGCCTGGGAGAGAGGCTTAAGGGCAGGCAGCTTCTTTAGTGGCTTCTGCTGGAACTGAACCTTTGGGGCCACCACTGCGGCCTGTGGCTTCACTACCAGGCCGGCACTAGAGAGTGGCTCACGGCGCACCACCGCATTGAAGCCATGCACATCGTCGGCGGTGTACTCCACGGTTCGTCTGTAGCCATCGGCATCGTTCACAGAATACTGGCCCCGGACCACATCTCCGTCACGGGATTCCGACTGGGACTTGACATCTCCTGTTTCCGAGTCCTGAACATCGTAGCCAAAGGAGTAGCGCGGATGAGGGTCAAAGGTGGCATCGCTTTCCGAAGATTTCACGGGCAATAAACCCGCTTGAGCCACGGCTAAGAAGGCCACAAAGACTGAAATCTATAAAGGATAAAATATCAGTAATGCCTTGGCCTGCAAAAGAATCACTTCAATGCTTACTTTGCCCAACATGATTTTGCGATTCTTGAGTAGAAGAGGACTAAGGCTTGCTCCTGTCGGTAGCTGAATTTACACAAATTCGCTTTGGCCGGGATCTCGGTTTATATAGGAAACTGACTGCCGGTTGACCCAATGCCACAGTGGCCTGCATCTGCCGCGGGATCTGGATCTGGGTCCCTGCAAGGTCATCGTCATCATCCAGTCTCACTCTGGACCGCCTAATTGGAGTTGAGTTTGCCGATGCCCCAACAAGTTTATCAGGCAATCGACAGGTTTTCAGGCAGCTTTTGGGCTGCCGCTGCTTGGGCCTACAGCTCCTTACATTTTTTAGCGCTGTCATTCCCAACTAAGATTCGTTAACGCTTGACCAGAATTCTGATTAATAGCGTTGTACACTTAGCTATTTAACATTTTATGGAATTCTTTAATAATGATTGAGAAAATAAAGATATGAAAATATATATCAAAGTTGTATCATTTGTAGAATAGGGATACAATAATAGGTATAATTATTGATATAGTTAAATAACAAGAATTTAACTGTTAATCAACAAAGATTATAACTATATTTAATACAAAGTTATAAATAAAATAATAGGAATAATGGATATAAGTTAAACAAATAATGTTTTTAGCTGCCTGAGTTCTGTATATTAATTTAAAAAGTACCCTGTGTGGTATGTCTTTATATACGAATAAAATAAAACTTTATCACAAGGCTAAAATAAATTTGTTGTACTATAATTTAAATTTATTTTTTACATGCCGTTAACTTAAAAAATTACGCCCTCTAGCGACACGATCGGTAATATATATAATACATACATATGTACATATATCTTTCAAGAGCAGGCGCTTTGGGATAGCGGCGCTGCCTTCAAAATTATCAAAATTACTAAAAATGTATTGTTTTTATAAAAAAAAAGAATTAAATGATAGTATATGTTTGTTAATGTATATTGTAGAGTACATCATTCAACTTGTCCATAGGTTTCTTTTGGAATGCTTGAGTTCGAGCATTTCACTATACGCCGAAAAGTATGCTAATTTGCTGTAATTAATTTTCAATATTTTGTCTGAAAAAATAGACGGATCTATAGTGCATAAAACTTTTCATACTTAAAATTTGTATGCATTGCATGATTAAAATAAATATTTTAATTAAGAATAAATGACTTTAAAACATAACTAAAATTAACTTCAATACTATATACAATTTTATTGTGTTAAGCTGTATAAAACATAAATACATACACAAAACAACAAATCATCTAGTATTTACACAATTATTGCTATATTCACCCTTTAATAATTTTGTAAAACCTGCAACACAAACATGAGCCATATCTGTTGTACATTTCAGTTAATTTCTAATTTACAATGCCATTTGTACTCTTACCAAAAATTGTTCAACAACTGTGGGCCACTTTTTCCCCGTGGCCTGCCAATCAACAATAAAAAGCGATGCCATGGCAATTATTACCATCCTCCTGTGCAGCTGCCTTCTGCAGGATTCCCATTTTGGCAAGGGGAACAAGGAGAGACTGTTATTTTAGACGGAATATTTGGAAATCGAGGGCTGTTCTATGGAAGTCCACTGCGATTGGCTCACTTCAGTTGCGCAGTGGATAAAGGGAGCACACAGAGAGTCGTCCCGCTCTAACTTTATCCGATTCTAAAATGAACGAATCTCGAAATGTCGGATTTGGCTTAAACCGCCCAGCATGGTTTCAAGTAAGTCGAAGATTTTTTGCATAATTTTTCATCTTAAGCATTCAAGGTCGTTGACGAGTCCGCAGACATTAAATTGCACCAAATTAAAGTTAAGTGAGTGTGACCGATAGATGAAATAAAACATATTTATTTTTAAGACTTGAAATAAAAGGAATTAAGTAAATAAAATAAGGCAACCATTAGGGTTTTAAATGGTTTACTGATTTGTCTTTTTATTGCTGTATTGAAATAATTTTGGCAACTAATTGAATTGTCAACTTCAAGGGTAACATTGGTTTCCAGAACTTATACTTAAATATTTAATAATAGTATTAGAATCTTTTTGCCGTAAAGCATAAAATGTATTTAAATTAATTCAGTAAAAATTAAAGTTTTCGTTTTTTTTATGTATTTTTGGTTAGAAGCTTGTTAGGCTGTGATGGAATCATTTCCGACCCTATAAATCATATATATTCTTGATCAGCATCTGAGTCGATCGAGCCATCTTCGGCTGAAAAAAAAATGTACAAATTTTTTTAAATTTTATAAGGGGTTACATCTTTGAAATTTTCAAATTTGATAAAAATTTTACTTTCTGAAAATGGTGAATTCAGTGCGCAGATTTTTTAATCTGAAAACTAACAGAGAACAACTTTCAGGATTAAAATTAATGTTTTTTTAGCTGAGTTATGAGTTTTTTAAACTTTAATTTTTTGAATAAAATTCTCATATAAAGATAACGATAAATATTTGAAGCTTAGTTATGATCCGATGCAATCCTATAATTCCCTTGAAAATTGCAAAGGTATATATATATTTTATTGTGATTATTATTTTATTATCAGAATATATATAAATATACAAAAACACTTTATAATATATAATTTTAATTTTATTTTAAAACCCCCCCAAGGAGTTGTGGTTAAGAAATTTCTTTACGTCTGAACAAAATTTGTGCCGTCGCCAATTACAGGTATCAATCAAGAAAACCCCCAATAAAATCCCCCCAAAGGGGTTTTAGGAATTAGCCCAGAAACAGACATGTGATGAATTCGGCAACTAATTGGAGGCGGAGTCTTAAAATCGTATTCATAAACATAATGAGCTGGGCCAATTACATATTCAATTAAAGACGGGACGGGCCAGTTAACACAACTCTTGGCCACCATTCAACAGGCATCTGTTGCCGTCTTACCCGAGCCCGATAAGTGGGTTCGATTAATTAATCATTACAGAAGCGAACAAAACGCCAGAGTCAAAAGCTGCACAAAACCAAAAACTCTGAAAAAATGGCACAAATATCGATTTACCAAAAAAAAAATACAAAGGAAACCCGAAAAGTACCGCCAAGTTTTGTTCTTCGAGCGGTGACAGTCGGCGCCGGGCAATCCATCAATTTGGTGCAGTGCCAATTACGCCAGTTACTCGTCACGTCACGTCTCGGACACCGGCGGACAATGGACACCGGACACCGGACAGTGGATAACAAAACACCGGACAGATAGGAGACCCCAAAGCTTTGTAACAAAAATCGAAACGAATCAGCGTAAGTCGAAAGACGGCAGCTCGAGTTTTGGAGCTGTAACTGCGTCGGCGCCCATCAACTTGGCGTCAGCTTGTGGCCAGTTCTTGGCCATTCCGGTCGATGGTAACTCACCCCAATGCCCCCTCGGAAAAGCTCGAGACGTCATCTAGCCCATATATCTTACTTCCGACATTTCCATGGCGCTAAGCAGACATTAATGGCGCGACTTACAAATCCCCCGAAAGTCATTATTGGAGGTGCATCGAGCACTTGACTAGACATATGCACTTATAAGTGGGAAATGTTCCAAGTTGATTTGTATAACCACTGCGATAAGATGATCTTATTAGATATTGGAGAAACATATTAATTGGGTAATATTATATATATATTATATTTTATTAAATATATTATACATTATATATTATATAATAAAAAAAATATATATTATATTATTAGGTGTATAACGCCAATAAAGTATAGTCAACAAATGTATTATAGAAATATTTATATATGTATTTGCAACGAAAATCTTTCGACACATTTTTCAGGTAATTTAATTTTAATAAATGTATTAGTTACCAATAAACTTCTTATGAAATTTCTCTTAAGGTTATATTGTTTATATCGCTATGTGCGTCTATACCAGGATACCTGGATCTTTCGAGTTTGAATAGAGATACAAAGACTTTCATATATTTCTCTATTTCTTTAACTTATACTTATACTTATTTATCCTATAAGTGATAAAATCTCCCTACATTTATGAAAGCTAAAGACATATCCATTTGCTTATGTCCTACCTATATATGCCCCAACTCCCCAGCAACTGTCAGGTTGTGTCCCAGCCCCCAAGTCCAATGTAACAACGAGGATACTCAGTGTTTGCTCTAGCCATGTGGGACAGTTTCAGTTTTGGAATTGGGAGTGGTATTGGGATTGGGATTGGGATTGGACCGAGGTAAGTTGCCTGTGTACATATGTACGTCGAAAGACACTCGCACACATCCTGTTACTATTAATTGCTGCTGTCCGAAAAATATAACAAATCACCTTGGAGCGTTGGGCAGGAACACCCGAAAGGACGAAACGAATGGCCACTTCAGTTCACTCCTGTGGCACCGCTCCTCCCGTCCCCCGAAATCCCCGTGCGAGTGTAGAGACAAAAACTTGTGAAAATGTCAATCAAGTTGTACAAAAAAACAAGAAATACCCAATGGATGGAAAGGGAACAACGCACTTCTCTCCAGACAGCCAAAGATGATGCATTGTGCGTGAAAGGTGCATGAAGATATCTGACGGTTGTATCTCTATCTTCGCCAAGTGACAGACACACATGCCGGATAACTCGTAGGGGGCGCCTACGAATTGCATCCCACTGAGTCAGAGCCTGAGTCTCGGTCCAGAGTCGGAGTCCAAAGCCAGGTCCAGAGAAGGGGACAGATACTGAGACGGAGTCGCAACCCGGAGATAATGTCAAGAGTCTGGGTCGGGGAAGTCGGTCGACGACGATTTAAATTCCACAGTGCTGCCATAGATGAGCTGTCATATGTGCAAATGACGATTGACAGCTGCCACAGTCAGCATCCGTTTGCAGCTCCTCCTGGTCGAAGTTACAAAAGTCCCAGTCCCAATCACAAAACCCATTCCTAGTGCCCGCTGCCCATCCCCGGACGCAATCCTCTCCGTTACCTGCCCGTCAATTCATTTGGGAATTTCGTGCGAGGTGCTAAAACGTGCCAAAACCACAAAACAAACACACAACATTGGGTTTCCAGTTAAAACAAGACGTCGACATGAACATGGGCAGGGGCGTAACTTTTAATACTATCAGCGGGCGGCAGGGCCGGATTAACTTGGGAACATTTCGGGCCCAAAACAGAACCGAAAGCAGTGGGACTTTAATTCATATTAAAAGTCCTTAAGGCTGTGAGACAATATTTGATATTATTGTATACATTGTACATTAGATAGTCCTAAAAATAGTCAGCACATATCAACAGAAACATTAATGGAGTATACGATTACCAAGAACCAAACACCAATCAGGTTCAGTTACATTTTTCGATCTGAGTTTTTTGGTAAGCAGTTTTGTATTAACTATATTTTAAATGTTTAATGTATTTGTATTATTTACCATTTATTTATTTACCATAACAGTTTTAATGTATACTTGTATACCTCTGACAATGTTACCATATATAGGTATTTATAATACGCTCCTCTTAACTTTCACCATATAGTCACCTTAATGATTAGACATCGTGTGGAAATGCTCTTGGGAACCTAGAGCAACATAAACGATCTGTGAAATATATATCCTATTCATTCAGGTAAAATAAAACTTAAATCAGCAGTATACTACTTAAGCAGATACCACATTTATAATACAAAAGATATAACCCCTTATACATACATATATGTATATATTCCAAATCTCCCATATTGAGCTGCATAAGTCCGCTCCTGCTATGGCGAATAGCAAAAAAATGAAAAAAAGCAAAACTCTGTGAAAATCTAAATGGAAACGGCAACTGCCAAAAACCGGTAGTGAGTCCACATATATGACTAACCCCGAACCGAACCACTGATAAGGCAGGAGCAAGTGAGACGCCATTACTTTGCACCACGAACTCAGAGCAGCCGCGTGTGGAAGCGAGACCAGAGTATGGCCACAGAGGGGGCGTGGCCAGAGTGGAACAGTTGTATGGTCTGAACGAAATCGGGTTCGGGCCAGTAATCAGTCACGACTTGGTAAGCGCGCTGGCAGCACGTCGTCGTCGTCGTTGTCGTCATCGTCATCGGGTGTCGTATTTGCAGTTCAATAGACAGATAAGGATATAGCATATAGAACCCCGTCGCGTAAAACTTTCCAATATATTCGAGATTGCGAGAACTGTGCTACAAAAAGTGAAGTGAAAACCCCAAGAACCAGAAAGTGATCCGAGATCCCGAGAAAGTGCGGTTCCGGCGGGACAATATGATGGACGTAAGCAGCATGTACGGCAACCACCCGCACCACCACCACCCACATGCCAATGCCTACGATGGGTATGGCTCCACCGCAGCGGCAACCGCTACAACTTCCAGCGGCTATTTTGCTCCGCAGCAACATCAGCAGCAGCTGCAGCAACACCAGCAACAGTTGCAGCACCAGCAGCAACAGCAACATCACCACCAGAACCAGCAACATCTCTCCTACAATGGCTACGAGAGCAGCTCACCCGGGAGCTACTATCCGCAGCAGCAGGCGCAGCTCACGCCGCCGCCATCTGGAAACCACCAGGTGGTGCAGCAGCAGCAGCAACAGCTCTATCCCCACTCGCATCTGTTCAGCCCCAGTGCGGCGGAGTATGGAATCACCACGAGTGCGGCGACGGCCGGCAATCCGGGAACACCGATCCATCCCACGAGCCACTCGCCAGCGGATTCGTACTACGAAAGTGACTCAGTGCACTCGTACTATGCCACCGCTGCCGTGGCCACCGTACCACCGCCCACAAACAACTCACCTGTGACTGCTGCGAATGCCACCAATCCCCAGCAGCAGCAGCAGCAGGCAGCAATCATCAGCTCCGAGAACGGAATGATGTACACCAACCTGGACTGCATGTATCCCACGGCCCAGGCACAGGCCCAGGCCCAGGCCCCGGTTCACGGCTATGCCGGCCAGATCGAGGAGAAGTATGCCGCCGTGCTGCATGCCAGCTATGGTCCCGGTCTGCTTCTAGAAGAGCAGGATCCCATGATGCAGCAGGCGACGCAGTCGCAAATGTGGCACCATCAGCAGCACCTGGCGGGAGGCTATGCTCTGGACCCCATGGACTCGTTAGGGATGCACGCGCACATGCATCACGGTCTGGCCCACGGACACCTGGCCAACCTGGCCACCAACTCTCACCAGCAACACCCACAGCTCCAGCAACAGAACCAACAGCAGCAGGCACATCAGCAGCAGCAGGCGCAACACCCGCAGAACCAATCGCCAGCCGGACAACAGCAACAGCATCAGCAGCAACAGAACTCCGTGTCGCCCAATGGCGGCATGTCACGCCCGCAGCGTGGTGGTGTCATCTCGCCTGGTAGCTCCACATCCTCCTCCACCGCCTCCGCTTCGAATGGCACGCATCCTGCGAGCACACAATCAAAATCGCCAAATCACTCTAGCAGCATTCCCACCTACAAGTGGATGCAGCTCAAGAGGAATGTTCCCAAGCCACAAGGTGAGTGTTCAAATATTTTGTTATATTAAGTTAAGCTTAAAATTATTTACTCATGTTTAATTAGTGCTCCGATACCAAGATAATTCATAAAATAAGCTATAAAGTGATAACTTCTAGATATATTTTAATGAATCTTATGCAAAATTTCAATAATTTTTAATGAAGCATATCATAAGTAGCTTTAGCTTTAATTATACACATTTTACACCTTCGCACCACTTTTAATTATACAGTTATTATAAATTAAATTACCATTCACAACCCCGCGGCTATTAGAGAACCACATATTTGGCTAATTGCCATATTTTAGCATTTTACCATGCAGTATTGTCAACTCAAATGTTTCCCTCAATAGATCACAGATTAGCTAAGAGAATAAATTAAACTAATCAGGCAGTGAATATGCAAACAAACAAACACACTCTTAAAAACATATAGGAATACAAGAAAGAGAAGAAAATAAATTTAAAAATCATAAAACGATGACTTTCAAAACTGATTGACAGGCCAAGATACAGGAATCAGCAAACCCGTGAAACCAGAAAAAGACGAATATGAATAATGTGAAGTTGAGGGAACAACTACAGTAAGACAAAAATACAGAAATGGAGAAAAATAGAATTTTAACAATAGTAACCGCAAATATATGAACAATTAGCACTGCAAAAATAACAACTGACATATTAGCAACTTGATGCCTCAGACAGAAACTCAAAAGAGACGTCCCACCGAGGGCATGTCACCTAAAAATAAGAATGTCTCTTCAAATGCCAAAGATTTCGCTTACCTCCCGTCTCCGATCTGCAGTCTTCCCAGATTCTCCCCAATCCCGACCGATCCCCAAGATCCACTCCACCTCTCATAATTTTCGACGTTCTCTTGGACTCTCCTTTGGCATATTTCTTGCATATTTCAGATAATTTTGTCAATGCCTGTGCAGTCAGTCAGGTTGTCACTTGTCACATTGCCGAGTGGAGTTTTGTATCTCGGAATTAGCCAGCTAAGAAAATACATTTGTGTTGATAAAAAAAAACTTCGAAAAACGTATAATATATTCATATGATAAATGAAATGTTGATTATCCAAAAGAAGCGGTGGGACCAGACCAAAACGAGTATTTTTATTGAAAGTTCATGAATTGCAGAAAAAACAAGTGTAAGCTTTTAATTGGAGGATTTTTATATTAGTGTTTGTTTGTAGAGTTTGAGGTCATTTATGGCTCACCCTGAGATTTAATATAGTTTTTAATAGCTCAGTAATATAACTAAATAGAAAATGTTAATGGACGATGCACATAATGTTTATGAGGTTACCTTGGCAGGTTGTTTATTAGAGCATTTAAAATAAACATATATAAATAGCAAGCATTAAACACTAAATTGGTAATTTGCTATTTGATAAGATCTGATGCTGTGTTCTATATGCAATATCCTTTGTGGCGTATCCAGCTTATGTGTTTAACATTCCCTTCTAAGAATTAACAATATATTCAAAATACTTAATTCCTCAGCTTACCTTTCAATTCTGAGTCCATCCATCCATCCTCTCAAACCTGTTGACCAATTTTGTGTTCGTTGTGGGCCCGTTCATAATGCACTTAACCTGTTCATGACTCGAGTTGCCCAACTGACGCTGATCGGCGATATCGGAGCATCGAGCGTCCGACCACTTACAGTTCAAACGTTAATCCCTTGGCTACACCAATAATCATACAAATATTTGCTTATTAATGCTGAAAAGTGTCATTTACATGCATCGTTTTCAATTAAACGACGCCACAGAGGCCGGGCACCGAAATGCAGCCGAACCGATCAGAGATCCGAGATCCCCGATCCAAGATCCAAGATCCCCACGCGCCGCACCCAAAACCCAACCGCCTCGAGACCCAAATACGATCCCGATAGCCCCTCGAATGACGCGTGCAAGTGGAACCAGGCGCTAAGATGGGAGAGAAGGGTTTGGTCAGGGAGGTGGCAGGAGGGCACTGCCAGAAGCATTATATTTTGACCAAAGATATTTAAAACAGAGTCAAATAATTTTCAATATCTTAAAGATACAAATTTCACTATCAACAAGTTCTAGAATTCTTCAAGCTCAAAGGTAAAGAAAATATTTTTGTTATGTAAAATTTACAATTTTTCGTTGGGAAATATATTTTCTAAATTAAAAATGGAAACTCTAAATCATAAATTTAATTATGTAAATTGATATATATAAAAATTGTTCTCCGTGTGGTGCAGGGGCGACCGCAAGTCAAACAAACAATTAAAGCGTGCAGCCATCGGTCGTGAGATGCAGCTCGAATCCAGAATGAAACTTGCAGCAGGGATCCGAGGGAGCCATGGGACGGTGGGCAGGGGCTGCTCCTCGGCATTTCGAACTGGAAGTCAAGTTGGCTGTCAGAAAAAATGATTATTTAAATAAGAGTCTCTCGTTTGAGCCTCACTGCAACCGAACTGTCACTGAGCAATGATCCGCTGCCTCGTGGCTCCGGCTCCCCTGGAATCCCAGGGCGCTGGATGCTGGATGCTGGATACCCGATGTTGAATGCTCGACGCTGGATACTGGATGCTCGCCGCAAGCTCTGCGCACATGCTTGGGTCCATCTGTCATGTCATCCATTCTCGGGCAGGGAAACAGCATAATCAGCAATCATGGTTATAAATGGTAGCATTCGACATATTGGCATTCACGCACAAACGCAACCACATATTCGGCCTGGATGCACGCTGGCCAATGTCTGCGATTCAAAGAGTTCTCTAATGTGTTAATCAGCATTTTTCAATAACCAGACCGCGGTCTGGAGTTGGAGCAGGAAGAAAGGAGCAACTCGCTCCCATTTGCCATGAAGATTAATGGACATTTTTACAGGGATTTGTCACTGGCTAGGAATCGGTTTAAGATACACAAATACACGCAAAGAACTTTCCATTTTTTCAACCACCAATATCAATCAATGTGCGAAATCTCAAAAATACTTTTGACACGATTATGATGACACCTAGATAAAACTAAAATTAGCCACAGTTCAAACAAAAAAAATAAAGTGAAATAAACCAAGGAAAGAAACGAAAAACTTATCCATCATTCAAATGTCAGGGTTAAAGTATTTAGAACTCGTAGGAAACTCAAAGTTTTATGCGAATTATTCGAGGTTTGAGTGGAAATGGGTTTATTTTTCCTCTAGTCTGGTGCTTTATATACTCTAATCTTTATAGCTTTCAGTATCTTAAGACCATAGGTAATATCTTAATTATGTTTTCAATAACAAAGATAACTATGATATAAAATCCGATTTTATTGAAATGTCGAATATTTTGAAAACTCATACATTTCTTATTGATTTACATCATTATCTCTCCTAAGATCTATCCCCTATTAGCACCCAACTAAGGCTTTTACGACCTGAGCTCGGTGATAATTTTGTTTACTTTTATTGGCCTTTTGATGGGCCCCTCGAACATAATTGAAAAGTTCCCATCGAGGCGGGTCTGGGCTTGTTGTGGTAGAACAGTTTAATTAATGCCTGGCAACTGGACGTTCTCCTCCGTTTCTGCTGCCGTTCGTGTTTTATTGTTTTTTAAACGATCTACCACTTTGTTCGGGAATTTCACCCACTCCCCCGCGAGGGGTTGGGAATTTCCACACGCAAAGCTCCGGCGCTCATAGAAAATATGAAATATGAAAATAGCTGACAAAAGTGAAGGAAACTCGAATTAACATAAATGTTGGTTTGGAAAAGCAAAAGGGAACACAAAACTTTTTGGCCAAAAGGTTGCAAAAGGTGTTAGTTTTATGGGCCACCGCAGGGGTGGGCCAAGCGGAGTGCCCCGGGACGAGGGGGGCATTCGCTTGGGGTATTCAACATTTATTTGATGTGATGTTTTGATATTTCTTGACACCAACACGCGACGCGGCCCGAAGAGCGGCGAATGTGCCACAATGAAAACGAAATGAATTAATTACGTGCATTTCAAAACAAAAATTGGTAAGATATATGTAGGTATGAGCCAACGAGCGAGAACCCCGAGCCGAAAAACCCTCGGAGAAAAAATGAGGCAGACTATTTAAATGAAATGATATTGTGGATAGAAAAGTGACCACCAGGAATGCCAGATAACATCAACCGCTTGCCCAAACTCAAACCCAAACACAAAACCCTAACCCAAACCTAACCGAACAGAACTCGGAGCCGAGAGCTGAGCTGGGAGCTGGGTTCAGACCCGCCCCGCTCGCCTGTCTGTCACCGTCATCGTCACAGACCGAGGTCCGTCACATGGGCTAGTTAGCCCAGTTTTATAGAGATCGCAGCGTGAGCGGTTAAAAAATCGGTTTTATTTTTATTAAATACATACATAAATGCTTTACACAATCATTGGCTCTTTGGCATTTTTATACCTCCGAGGAAAATATATATATATCATATTTTTATATGATAATAGTTTTGGGTAAATCATAATTTTGAAAACATCATAACTAAGCCATTAATGCATTAATTTTAAATCGGACTTCAGGGATGTGCTAGTTTTCATACATCTACAATCTACATATGACATTTTAAAATTAAAAAATTCAAATTTTTTGCCACTTTTGAGAATTTTAACGATAAAAATTTGAAATTTTGAAATTTTTAAAAACATTAATTTCTTGACCGGACATGCCTAGATCGATTTGTCTGTTGATTCTGATCAAGAATATGTATGATTTATAGGGTCGGAAACGACTCCTTAATCGGGTTCCAAACTTCTGACTAAATTTAAATTAACCTTCCAGGTTACACAAATAATATTATAATAAACACATACTCTCCAGACAGTTCCTTTTAATATTATCATTCTTAATTATATTTCTGAATTAATGGCTTCTTAATATTATCTGATTTAACTATTATATTGTGTTGTACCCTAACAGCCAACGTGTCGTATGAGTAATTTATAAAATATTTATATTAATGGTAGTACATGACAAATCGGTTTAAATCATTTTGTTTTTCATTCTAA